ATGCTCCAGAGCCCTCACCAGCAAAGACGGCTAGCATGCAGACCCACTTACGTGTTCCGAAGCCCTTACCAACGAAGACGGTGAACAGTGACCAGCCTTCTACACCTGAGCTTCCTGCCACACAGATACGGAGTGCAGCTGATCTAACCTCGTCGACCAGTTCCCGGTTTCGCCCAGCAGCAGGCTCAGACCAGGACGGACCCAGCTTCCTGCATCAGGTCGTCCACGCCTCAGGTCAGTACAACTTCTGTGGCCTCCGCATCCCGTTACAGACTCACCTAAAGATTCCAGTCTGGCGAACAGCCCTTGAACATTATTCCGACAAGTGCATTGTGGACTTTTTAGCGTACGGCTGGCCTATTGGTTACGAATTGCAGACTTTACCTGTGTCTTCCAGGCGGAACCACAACACTGCTAGAACCTACAGCGACGCCGTAGATCGATATGTCAACAAGGAGGTTGACCTGGGAGCTACACAGGGACCTTATCCACTACCACCGTTCGAGAACCACTTCGTCACATCCCCACTCCAGACGGTTCCGAAGGGCAGCGACGGAGAACGACGGGTAGTGGTCGACTTAAGTTTCCCGCACGGGTCTTCGGTCAACGATGGTATTTCATCTACGCAGTACCTGGGAGATCCCTTACACCTCACGCTCCCCAGTCACGACGCGTTTGAATCGTTGATTAAACAGAAAGGTCCCGGTTGCTTGTTGTTTAAGAGAGACCTTAGCCGGGCCTACCGTCAGTTACCCGTGGATCCTCATGACTACCACCTGTTGGGTTTCACCTGGCGGGACAACTTCTACTATGACACGTCATTCCCCTTCGGATTAAGGTCGGCAGCGATGGCTTGCCAACGGACTACGAACGCAGTCGCCTACATACATGCATCTAAGGGCTACAAGTGTGTCAACTACATAGATGATTTCGGGGGGGCGGAGATCCCGGACAAGGCTCAGCGTGCCTTTGACGCCCTGGGTACTACCTTCGACGAGCTCGGGTTAGCAGAGTCCGCAGAGAAAGCGACTCCTCCTTCCACATGCATGACCTTCCTCGGCATTGGCTACGATACGGTAACAATGTCCAAAAGCGTAACAAAAGAGCGCTTAATAGACACCATGCATGAGCTAGAGTCTTGGACAGGTAAGAAGAGAGCGACCAAACAAGAGATACAGGCACTCCTGGGAAAGCTGGCCTTCGTATCTATTTGCGTCCAACCGGGTAGGACTTTCCTGTCTCGCATCATTACTTCATTGAAGGGACTTCGCCGTCCACATCACCGCACACGGCTCACCAGTGACTTCAAGAAGGACGTACATTGGTGGAGAACATACTTACCTGAGTTCAACGGGATTTCCTTGATTAAGGACTCCACGAGGCATGCTTTGCCAGACATCCCTACGACCGACGCGTGCCTCTCGGGCTGTGGAGGCACCTTCAACCGCCAGTATTTCCACGCAACCTTCCACCCGCGGTTTTGCAGCAGAACCATCCCATCCACCGGTTGGAGATGTTAGCTATTATTGTCGCGTGCAAGGCATGGGGCGCGGCGTGGTCTGGCCACACGGTACGAATCGCGTGCGACAACTCACCAACAGTGCAAGTGATTCTGACAGGATGTTCCACTGACTCATACATGCAGGCTTGTGCCAGAGAACTGATCTACTTGCAGGCTCTGTATGATTTCGCACTCTCTGCACACCACATCCCCGGCGAAACTAACAGCTTGGCCGATGCCCTGAGTCGGTGGCACCTAGACCAGGCTCACCAACGCCAGTTTCACGCCGCGACTTTGAATCAGCGCTGGGTCGAAACACCGGTGGATGCGGCCTGGTTCGACTTTACACATTCGTGGTAATTGTCACCCTTGAGACTCATCTTATTTCTCCTCTACCACCCACATTACAGGCGAGGCATGGACTATTCTAGAACAGGACACCCTGCGGACGCAACAACAGGCCTTCGCCGCCTCCACGAGGGCCAATCACCGAACTCAGTTCCACACTTACCTCGCCTTCTGCCGGTTCTTCGGAAAGGTCCCCATCCCCGCCACCGATCATCTGCTCTCGTGCTACGCGCAGTTTCTGAGCAGGTCCCTCACCTCACCAGCCACTATCTCACACTACCTGTCTGCGGTAAAGTTGTTACACCACTTCCACGGTCACTATCACTTCAGTCTCCAGCAATTCGAACTTCAGCAAACCTTACGAGGACTGAAAAGGACCCTCAGACATAGACCCAAAGAGCACCACCCCGTCACTCCAGAGTTCCTTCTGAAGACACGCCAGTTTCTCGATCTGTCGAACCTGAAGGACGCCACCACGTGGGCAGCACTTCTGATTGGTTTCTTCGCATATTTGAGAAGATCGAATCTGGTGCCCAACTCCCGCAACGCTCTCGACAACTCCAAGTATCTTCGGCGTGGTGACATCCGCTACATAGAGGAAGGTCTCCTCATCCGCCAGACATGGTCGAAAACCATTCAAGCCAACGAGAGAGATCTCATTGTTCCGATTCTCATGATCCCAGGCTCCCCGCTGTGCCCGGTCGCGGCCTACGCCAACATGCTGAAACAATGCCCGGCACCAGCAGATGCCCCAGCCTTCCTTTTACCGACCGCTGGGCACCGCCAGTATCGACCGATGACAGCTGCGATACTCACCAGAGAACTAGCCCGGTTGGTACAGCAAGCAGGTCTCCCTAAAGGCTATCATACTCTGCACGACTTGCGTCGAGGCGGGTACACACTTGCGTTTGAGGCTGGTGTACCACGGGAATTAAGGAGGCAACACGGGGACTGGAGATCCGACGCCGACCTCCTGTACCTTCGGCCATCCGTGGAACAACGACTACGCGTACCTGCCGGGATGCGACAACTCATCCTGCAGCGTT